GGTTATATTTAGGCATTAGAAATATGCCTTGAAACTGTAATGCAAATAATAAAGGTAACTGTTACTTTTACTTTAAGAAAAAGTAACAGTTTTTTACTGTTACTTACTTTTTTTCCTAAAGTAACTTTTACTTTAGGGGGAAAAAAAATGATTAAAAAGTTGTATTAGAAAAAAATACATCCAGTGAAGAACACCTAGTATCAAAAACTAACATAATCATAACTGTAGCTGGCTGTCACAACCATTGCAAGACACTGTTCTGTTGAGTGCAAAATAAGGCTGTAAAACGCAGCTCTTAATAAGCCTAGGTTTCCATGCTATGTCTCATCTGGTATATTTATTACCTGTTGCTGAAAGAAACAGCATCACTCTTCCCACCTACTTCCAGCTGCTTATTGTGCCTTTGTCCCTTTTGTTGCATCTAGTAATTTCTCATCCACAGGACAAGCCAGGTCAGCATAGTTTCCTGATTTAGTTTTCCTTCACTGGCAGTTAGGGTTGTCTTTTGGTTTTTTTTTCTGAATCAGCTGCTTACCTTGAACTCACCTTGGGACTGATGCAAGAGAGGGAAAGAACAGGCTAAAGTATCCCTTTTGGCATCAGCCTGAGTTGCACAAGACCAGATGCAATATTAAACCATGCTCTGGAAAACATTACTAGCTTTCTTCTTGTAGACTAAATATTCAAGTGTCTTCAGGATTCCACACAATACAGTGAGTTTCTGATAGCTAATGGGAAACTCTGAGAGGAAAATCTGTAATACTATAGCAAATGAAGGACTCCACAGGACAACAAAGCACAATGACAAAGACTGAGGCTCAATACGTGGACAAAAGACCTTGCAATCTAACTCGACAAGAGGAGTAAGAAATTCATTACTTTTCCTAATATCACTTAGCTTAATAACAGAGGTAGAAGTCAAATGCAGGAGTTGGGACAGGCACAATACGTGGACAAAAGACCTTGCAATCTAACTCGACAAGAGGAGTAAGAAATTCATTACCTTTCCTAATATCACTTAGTCAAATGCAGGAGTTGGGACAGGCTGCTCTATGCACTACACCACACCTCATGCTGTAGCAACAATTGCTATTTATTCACTGCTTGTGGTACAGCATCTCCATGTCAAGAACCGCACTAGGTTCCATTAATAGTAACACAAAAATGAACTATTGCATTTGCTAATCTGTAAACAAATTATTAGTTCAATGTGATTTTACACCATCTGAAAGCTCCTGGTGCCTTCCAAAGAACTTGAAACCATAATATTTTTCTGACTCAGTAACATGTCCCTTCCTCCCTCTAATGACAAACAAAAAGAAAGAAAATTGAAAAAAAATCCACTTTTATTTTGTTTCTATTAAATGGAAGTGAGATGCAATTTGGAATTAGTACTTTTATATCATCCTAAAGTTCTCCACAGAAGGAGTAAACCAAGGTGAACTATATTAAAAATAAAAAAGAAAGGCAAAGCAGAGACACAGAAAGGAGATGGTTCAAAGAGGAAAAGCAGTACAGCTCCCTATTTCATCTGGCTATTAAAAAATCCAAATTAATACAGCAACATTTGTCGCATATCTATTTTTTGCTTCTAAAACCCCCTCTGTCTCTGTGTTGCTACGTGCACAGTACAAAACTATATTGATATAAAAAGACCATATATCCCAAACCAAACACAAATCCCCAGAATCAATTGCCTCTCCCCATCATATTCTGCTGTTAACTGCATGGATTTAACACACAGAGGGAGACACTTTAGTCACTTCAACAAGTTTTCTATTTCAGGCTTAAGATATAGCAGGACTTAATCAGAAACACTAAACGTCATTCCTGAAGTCACGAAATACCATCATACGGCAAACTTCAGCACACAGATGACAGAACATCTTGAGCAAACCACAACTTTTCTTCTTCTGATGGTTATCACATCACAAGGAAAGACCTGAAGAAAGATACTCTGCTTGCTTTCCTTCATCTCGATTTCTCCCAGTTGCTCCCAAGGCAAAGGCCCTCCAAGGATCCTATCTAGGAAATTTAGGTAAGTGTATTACCTGAAGGGGAACAAGACTAGCTAGTAAAAACATGCATTTTAATGTAACAGAGAAGAATATATGTCATATTAGCTGGCAGGTTCCAGAGTAGCTGTGATGACGTAAGTCCATGGTCCAAGAACAGCACCTTTGTATCAACCTCTGTCAAAAATACCAGCAAGTGGCTGGTGAAACTTCAGCTATTAAAAGAGAGGATCAAACCTTCACATCTTCAATGATCTCACTATCACCCACCAGAGTTTTGAGTGCAAAATATGGGTTTTTTGCACGTTAACACCTGCTGGTTTTCAGATATGCCCAGGACCAGCATCTAGCACAGCATCTACTTTTGCTGAGTTATCTCACTGGAGTGTGGATTACCATCATCTGTGATGTGAGGTCCTGGAATGATCTTAGCATCTCTGCACTAAGCAATCACTTCTTGGCTAATATTATATGGAAAACAAAAATAACTGGTGCTTTCTTGCCTAATACAATTTCAGAGTCTAACCATCATGTTTATTAGAAAAGGCATTTTAAGCTTCTATCCTACGTATATTGCAGAAAAAGGAGCACACACAAGTGAGGAACTATGTGAATGCTCAAAAGAGTAAGCAAAATACTGAAGATTTTATTAAGAGATTAGCATAAGCTAATTTGATCCTTTAGAGTTTTATATTAGTTGTTTATTTATTGCTTCCAGTTGCAATCTTATTAGCTATTTTGCTACAACTGAAGATTTTTATGTAAATAAATGCTTAACTATTTTCAAATGTTTCCCCAAGACAAATTATGCAATGCTTTTGAATAAAATGCAGACAACTTGACTTTGCTGTGTTCTAGAGAGAGATGACATTATTTACATATTTTGTTATGAATTTAAAATTTCAATTTTCTTCTAAACATATTAGATCCTGACAGAGTTAATCTTATCAGTTGTGCAATTTTATCATCGCCACTACCCTGTACACTGGTTTCCCACCTGCTGCTGCTAACAGTTGCTCAGGTTGTTTTTTAAGTTTGGTTATTAATGCCCATGCTAGTGTTTCTGTTCTGTTGTTAAGTGTTATAGGAATCCCCCCGTAGCTGGTCTGAGGCGTATTATTATAAAGTAAGTTATATTATCTGTAACACTAGCCAAAAAGCAATTCTATTTTAATAAGAGTCTCTCCAATTCTTAAGTATCATTTCTTCAACAGCATCAAACTTGATGAAAAGAATACCTGTATTTTTTGTTGAATATAGATATATGAACTGTCTATAATGCTTTCATTCCATCTGTGCACTGATGATAACATGGATACAGCATTTTAGTTCTGGTGATTGTCAGGCAGTGCAGGATGGCAGCAAGGGGCAGATTAAAATGTAGGCAGAAAAGAATTATCCAGAACTAACTGAAAAACTTTAAATTTACTTATCTAGTTTTTCTAGTTAAATACTAGCAGAAATAGAAAGGACATAGTAAATATAGACCTACATGAATGCAAATATTCTAAACTGATCAATGCCTTCAAAGTTGTAACTAAATGCTAATTTTTGAAATGAAAAGCAAACATACTTCTCAGGGGCCATTACAGAAAAAAAAAAACCAACAAAAAACAAATAAAAAAACCCCACCAACAAAAAAAAAAAAAGGCAAAGGCTTTTCATTGCATTGGTCACCAAAAGTCAATAACACAACAATGGAACAAAATACATGGGTTCTAAACATTTGCTGCCAATAGCAGCAAACCAAACTTAAATATTAAATATTTCATGTAAATTGGCTCTGCCATAGGAAACAGAGAACTAGAAACATTAGATTATTCCAAATAACTATCTCTTGGTAAGAAAATGCAGTTACTTTTTGGAAGTATTATTTTACTCTTCTTCCACTGGCCTCTTTTCCCAGGATGCTAGTGACAGGACAAGAGGAAGTGGCTTCAAACTGCACCAAGGGAAGGTTCAGGTTGGACATCAGGAATGATTTTTTGACTTAAAAGCTAGTTAAGCATTGGAACAGATTCCACAGGGATGTGGTAGTCACCATCCCTGGAAGTGTTCAAAAAGGAACTGCATGTGGCACTTCATGTCCTTAGCTGATATAGTGGCGTTTGGTCAAGGGTGGGACTCAATTATCCTGGAGGTCTTTTCCAATCTTAATGATTCTATGATTCTCTTCTGTTTTATGATTATTAAATACAAGTAACACTGATTTTATCTGTGTGTTTATAAGGCTTTCTTTGACAGCCTACACCTACAGACAGGTAAGTGTAAATAATATATTTATAAAAAGATTATAAAACTCACTTTATAAAATATTTGAAATTTTTAAAGTTCTTCCTTAGATCCTTCTTGCACTTTTCTCTAGTCAAAATTATACATATTTGGTACACACAATGCAAAGAATCAGCAGTAAGCATAGGGGATCAGGAAAATAATTTAACTTTACAAAGGATACCACAGTTTGCAGGGGCAGAGTTAAAAACTACAAATAAAGACTGCAGTTTAAAGAAAAAAAAAATTCAACTTGTAAGCCAAATTCAATAAGTAATTTATTAACTTACTTCAGGTTTCTAGAATGATAATCTTTAATGATGTATTCTAAAATGATATCTCATTTTATAATTGCTAAATGTATAAAACCGCATTATTCTGAAAAGCCAATTCAGGCATCATTATATTAATACAATGGGTCAAGTTACACTTCAACAAGCACAGGTTGAACTGTTACTTTAAAGTTTTTTCAAAGTCAGGGTGATATGAGGAGAGGCTTCACTTACCAAGAGCAGCCAATGAGACTACCTCCTCCTCTCCTTCTTAAAATTTCTGCTTGAAAAAGTTCTCTGAATGCTCTGAACAGGAACTTGGTGCTCAGAAGAAAATATCCAAAAGGTATAAACTACTGAACATCTTTCATCCTTCCTTTGCAGTAGTAAAACTTCAGCATGTGAAAACAGAGAAAATATGATCAGAATTTCATTGACTTACCACTGTTCCAAATCCTTAGGTCTTAGTCAACCCCTTCAGATGCCTGGCAATACCTATGGAAAAAAATGATGTAAAACATAAGAAAGGTACAGAGACAAAAACATCAAAACAATATTCATGATTAGTATTGGTGGCTGGAATGGTAAAAATGTTGCTTGTAAGAGATTATATGCACATGGGTAACATTTCCCTACCAGGCCACTTTTGCTTGGCTAGAAACGCAGCATTCTAGGCATCACTCCAACCATGAAGGCACTAAGAAAAAGCACAAACCCAGGACTTTCAGGAGGGTAGCCTTCCGACTCTTCAGGGATCTGTTTGGTGAAGTAGCCATGGGATAAAGCCCTGGCTGGGAGAACGGCCCAAGAAAACTCACTAATATTCAAAGATCACCTCTTCCAAGCTCAAAGACTGTGCATCCTAACAAGGAAGTCAGGCAGAAATGCCAGGCCTGCATGGATGAACAAGGAGCTTGTGGACAGACACAAACCAAAGGGCAGAAGCTAGGACAGGTAGCTTGGGAGGAATACAGAGAGGATGTCTGAGAAGCCAGGGATAAGACCAGGAAAGCTAAAGCCCTGATAGAATTAAACCTCTCCAGAGACACCAAGGACAACAAGAAAAGCTTCTACAGGTATGTTGGTGATAAAAGCAAGATGGGAAAATGTGGTCCCTCTCTGCAAGGAAACAGGAGATGTGTTTACCCAGGACATGCAGAAAGCTGAGGTACTCTATGACTTTTTTGCCTCAGTTTTCACTGGCTAGTGTTTCAGCTACACTGCTCAAATTGCAGAAGGCTAAGAAAGACATGGAACTACTGGAGAGGGTCCAGTGAAGGACTACAAAGATCATAACAGGATCACAGAACATCCTGAATTGGATGGAACTCACAAGTAGAGTCCAGCTCCTGGCTCTGCGCAGGATAATCCCCAAAATCACTCCATATGACTGAGAGCATTGTTCAAACACTTCCTGAACTCTGTCAGGCTTAGTGCTGTGACCGCATCTCTGGGGAGCTTGTTCCAGTGCCCAGCCACCCTCAGAGCGAAGAACCTTTTTCTAATATCCAGGAAATACAGCTTCATGCCGGCTTCCTACGTCATATCACTGCTCAGCAAAGAGATCAACAGTTACCCATTTCAACTTGTGAGGAAGTTGTAGACTGCAGGGTTAGGGGACCGGAGTATTTTTCTTCTGAGGAAAGGCTGGGAAAGAAACCACACACTGTAGGACAAGATCAGGTTTGCAACCATCCTCAGGAAGGTGCACATGTCCATGGAACCTAATGGTACAGAAGTCCATGGGACCTGATGAGATACATTCTGAGTAAACAGGCCACTATCCACTACATATGAGAAGTTGTGGCAGTCTGGTGAAGTTCCCATTGACTGGAAAAAGAGAATTGTAACCTCCATTAAAAAAGAAAAAAAATGGGAAGAAGAGTAAGGCTACAAGCCAATCTTTCTCATCTCTGTGCCCACCAAGACAATAGAGATCTTCCTGGAAACTATGCTAAGGCACTTGGAAAATAAGGAGGTGACTGGTGACAGCCAACATGGCTTCACAAAAAGCAAATTATGCCTGAGGAATATGGCCTTCTATGATGGGATTACACTGTTGTAGATGAGGAAAGAACAACTGATTTCATGTACTTGAACTTGTGAAAAACATCTGACATGGTCCTTGTCTCTAGATTGGAGAGACATGGATTTGACAGATGGACCACTCAGTGGATTAGGAATTCGCTGGATGGTTGCAGTCAAAGAGTTGCAGTCAAAACTCATGTCCAGGTGGAGACTGGTGCTGGTGGTGTTCCTCAGATGTTGGTTTTGGAACCGCTGTTGTCTAACATCTTTGTCAGGGACATGGACAGTGGGACTGAGCACATCCTCAGCAAGTTTGGTGATGTCATTGGGCTGTGTGCAGTCAAGACACTGGCGGGAAGGAACAACATCCAGAGAGAACATGATAGGCCTGAGCGGGGGGGCTCTGCAAACCTCATCGAGAAGAATCCTGTGGGAACATGCTTTGCAGGAAATAGGGGTCAAAGACAGTTAGTCTTCCTCCAGGCTCAAGAATGATCCATCCTGATGAGCAAGAAATTGAGCAAATGAGGCTAGGGACCTGCATGGATAAACAAGGAACTCCTGTCATTAATCAAGAGTAAGCAGGAAATACACAGGAGATGGAAGCAGGATCTGGCCATTTGTAATTAACACAGGGAGCTGTTAAACTAAGTAGAAATGACACAAGGTAAGCCAAGGCCCACCTAAAATTAAATCTGGCCAAGGATGTCACAGACAACAAGAGGGACTTCTTCAAATATATCAATAACAAAGAAAAATAAGAATTATGTGGTCCAGTTGCTAAATGGAAGGAGGGACCCCAGTGACAGAGAATGAAGAGAAGCCAGAAGACATTTCACTGAATGTCTTCTTTGCTTCAGTCTTCACTAACAAGACCAGCCCTCGGGGTTCTCTGACCCAGGAGAGCTGGGTAAAGCAATTCTGGAGTGAAGACTTTCCCTTGGTCAAGAAAGATAGGGTAGAGACCACGTAGATAAACTTGACATCCACAAGTCCATATGTCCTGATGGGATTCATCTACAAGTTCTGCAGACATGATTGTGAGGCTGCTCACAATTGAAGAAAGCAAATGTCAACCTAGTGTTCAAGGGAAAGAATGAGGACCCTGGGAATTACCAGCCAGTCACCCTCACCTTGATCCCTGGAAAGGTGATTGGGAGCACCTCATTCAGAAGACTATACACATGGGTGATCAGGAATAGTCAGCATGGATTTATTCAGTCAAAACCTCCTTGACCAACCTGATTGCCACCTTTAATGAAACCACTGCTTGGATGGACGAGGGGAGAGCAGTGGGTATTGTCTGCTTTGATAGTAGATTTCCTTAGACAAACTCAGGGATGTAGTCTGGATGAGTGGACAGTGATGTGGATCAAGAACTGGCTGAACAGACCCCAGGGGTTAAAATCAGAGCCACGGGGTGTAGCTGGAGGCCTGTCCCTAGTGGTGTGCCTCTAGGTTCAATGTTGTATTGTTTTAACTTATTCATCCATGGCTTGGATGAAGGGGCAGATGCCTGCTCAGCAAATTCACTGATGATACAAAGCTGGGCAAAGTGGCTGATGCCTCCAAGTGCTGCACAGGCTGAGGGAGATGGGCCTGTTCAGCCTCGAGAAGAGACAAGTGAGAGGGGACCTAATTAATGTCTACAGTATCTGAAGGGAGGTATCAAGACAATGGACCAGGCTCTTCTCAGAGGTGCCAAGCAGTAGGACAAGAGGCAATGGGCAGAAACTGATGCACAGGAAATTTCACCTGAACATGAGGAAGAACTTCTTTACTCTGTGGCTGACTGAGCCCTGGAACAGATTGCCCAGAGAGGGTGTGGAGTCTCCCTCACTGGAGATGATTTAAGAACTGCCTGGACACAATCCTGTGCCATGTGCTCCAGGATGTTCCTGCTTGAGCAGGGAGCTTGGAACACAGGATCCACTGTGGTTGGTCCCTTCCAACAAAATCCATTTTGTGATTCTGTGACCCTCTAGCAGACTTCCAGTACCTCAAGAGGGCCTTAAAGAAAGCAAGAGAGTGACTTTTACAAGAGCATGTAGTGATAGAACAGGAGGTATAGGCTTTAGACTGAAAGAGGGCAGGCTTAGATTAGATGTGAGAAAGAAATATACTGTGAGAGTGGTTAGGGATTGACACAGGCTGCCCAGAGAAGCAGTGGATGCCCCATTCCTGAAATTTCCAAGGCCAGGTTGGATGGGGCTTTGAGAAACCAGGCCTAGTAGAGGATGTCCCTGCCCACTACAGGTAACTGGAAGCAGAAAACCTCAGAACAGGAGGTAGAGGCTTTAGACTGAAAGAGGGCAGGCTTAGATTAGATATAAGAAAGAAATACACTGTGAGAGTGGTGAGGGATTGACACAGGCTGCCCAGAGAAGCAGTGGATGCCCCATTCCTGAAATTTCCAAGGCCAGGTTGGATGGGGCTTTGAGAAACCTGGCCTAGTAGAGGATGTCCCTGCCCACAACAGGGAACTGGAAGCAGAAAACCTTTGAGATCCCTTCCAACCCAAACCACTCTGTCATCCTGTGATTTTGTGATTCTATTGTCCCTGCCCACTACAGGAAACTGGAAGCAGAAAACCTCTGAGATCCCTTCCAACCCAAACCATCCTGTCATCCTGTGATACGGATTATATGAAGCAGTAACACATAAACTAAGCACACACAAAATCACATTGTTTTCTGTTCCTCTATTTTCCTAACGAAGTATACCAAGATCTGAAAATACATTTAGGATTATTCATATATTCTGTGGCAATTTATAATAACACTTTTAAAATCAAGTATGACTTAGGAAGAACTCCAAAAGTTCCTAAACCACTGCAATAAAAACCTGACTTACGTAGACTGGTCATTCCAAAAATGCACCTATAAACTTCTGCACCCTATTTCACAGAATTAAGCAAGGACAAACAAATTCTTGTACCTGAGATGGTACAATCCCCTGGAGACTGGCTGCCCAGGGCACACTTCCTGAAATGGAGCTGGGGGTCTGGGCAGAAAGTGGTCTAAACATGAACCAACAGTTAGTGCTGGCAACAAGGAAGGCCAAAAATATCCTGGGATATGTCTACAGGCTAAGATCCCGCTAATAAGCTATTATTCACCTTCAGCCAACATTTTCAGGAACATGCATCTTGAAAAGTTTTGTATTCCTACTACCAAAAAGCAATAAATCAAGGTGACAAAAGTAAGGTTAGGCTGATTCAGCAATACTGAAATACAAAATTTCCCATGGTAATAGCAAATCCTGCATTTTTATACATTCATCAGGACAAGATATATGAAGAAATTCCCCTTACATAAACAAAGTGAGTCAGAAAGCCAGTTAACTCTTACAAAGGGAGATAATTTGGCCTTGGTGAAGATGACTTAACAACAGAAAAGCTGGTGCAGAACTTCCAACAAAGTGTGCTTCTGAGGACAAAGAAAAGTGTACTAGGAGCACTGCAAAGT